GTGTGGGATAGAGGGGATGCTGGGGGGGGGGAGTTGGGGGGACAGGTGTCTGTGTGGAGCAGAGGGGATGCTGGGGGAGAACTGTGGGGACAGGTGTCTCTGTGGACAGGGCCGGCGCTTCCACTAGGTAACCCTAGGCGGTCGCCTAGGGTGGCAGGATTTGGGGGGTGGCATTTTGCCATCCTCTGCGGCAATTCGGCGGCGGGGGTCCTTCCGCTCCGCGTCTTCAGGGCACTTCAGTGGCGGGTCCTTCACTCGCTCCGGGACCCGCCGCTGAAGCGCCCCGAAGACGCGGAGTGGAAGGACCCCCACCGCCGAATGCTCTGAGGAGGAGCGCTGCCGCCTAGGGCGGCAAAAACCCTGGCGCCACTCCTGTGTGTGGAGCAGAGGGGATGCTGGGGAGGGAGGGGGATTTGGGGGGACAGAGGGGATGCTGGGGGGAAGATCTATAGGAACAGGTCTCTCTGTGTGGGCCAGAGGGGAATCTGGGAGGGAAAGCTGTGGGGACAGATTTCTCCATGTGGGGTAGAGGGGATTCTGAAGAGCTATGGGGACAGATCTCTCTGTGTGGAGCAGAGAAGATTCTGGGGGGAGAGATGTATGGGGACAGGTTTCTCCATGTGGTGCAAAGTTTACTCATGTGTCAGAGTTATGGGAACAGGTCTCTCCGCATGGGAAAGAGAGGACATTGGGCGGGAGAGCTGTGGAGACCAGAGGTACAGAGTCAGCCCCTCAAGAGCCAGGAGTGCAGAGACAACCTGCTGGAGTGAAGTTCTGTGAATGAGAGGGAAAGCCCTGGTCCCTGCTGGAGTAAGACAGAAGAAATTCGGGGGGCTCATGGCACCCATAAATAGTTGATCATCAGATGTTGCTCGGTAACAGTGTCCTTCCCTTATGATTACTGATCAACCAATGACAATTTATTCTGCTGCTGTAATAATAAGAAGATAATCTAATATAGGATACGATGCTTGTGCCTCATTGGTGACGTGCGCTGTCACGCAGTGCTCTGCTTGAGGCCATTGTGTGTGCGAAGTCCTGGAATTAACCAGAATACTCCAGTTCCCTGCTCATGTAGTTGAACTTAGCTTCTTAATGATTATTACTTTGTCTTATGGTAGTGCCTAGAAGCCAGCTGAGACCAGGACCCCATTCTGCTAGGTGCTAAATAAACACATAGAGAGACAGTGCCTGCCCCGGTAGCTCACAATCTAAACTGACAGGCCAGACAAAGGGTGGGAGGAAGGGAAATGGGCGCAGAGTGGGACAGTGACTTGCTCGAGATCACAGAGATAGGAGTAGAACCCAGGTCTCCTGATGCCCAGGCCTGGGCTGTGTCCACTGGACAAAACTGCCTCTGCTCACACAAAACTGGTCATTTTTCTAATTCATCCCTCGATCTCTTATTACTTTAAACATGGCAAGAGGCAGCCATCCCCTGGTGTGGGACACCGAGTGATCTCTAGACGCTGGCCCCACCCCTGTATAGAACAGCGGGAACGCTGGGTTGAAAGAGAGAGCGCTAACCCCTTTTTGGTGTGGGACAGAGCAGAGAGAGCCGGGCTGGAGGGCGCTGGGGCCATGCATGCTGGTTTGCTCTTGTAAGGTAGGGCTGACTGTGTCCCTTCTAACTTAGATGGCAGAACCCCTCGGCCTAGGAGACCTCCCTGCTATCAGAGCTGGTTAGGTGATGCTGTGGGCATAGAAGGTGCAGGGGTCCCTTTCCCCACCCCCAAGGGCTGCCTCCTACTTCCCTGGGGGCCTCTGCTGAGCCCCTGTCAAAGGAAAGCTGAGATTAAAACTCACTAAAACAAGAAATCCCAAGAGGTTTAACGGCTTTGGGAATGTAATGGAGTAAAGAGGGTCAAGTGGTGCCTGGCAGAGGCTCCCCCACCAGAGGCCGGTGTCACCGTTGGTACTTGCACCCATGCAGCGTTGGCTGGTGCAGGAGGATGTCTTGGATTTAGCACAGCTAGGGTCCCTGTGGTGACCTAAAGCCAAGCAAATCCTGACTGGCTGATCCCAATAGCAGTCCAGTCAATTACGTCACAGTTGATGAAGGGACTCTGCATCTCTTGATGTCATCGTTAAATCAGCTGATTGGATGTTGACGTCTAATGGGAGATTGGACCTCAGGGGCCACAAGGACATCAGTGAAAGGACTTGTTCTTAGTTTAGCAGGGTGTCAAAGGCTATGCCCACCGCTGTGCTCTGATGTGACAGCAGGCCAGGGTTCGACTCCTAGCGCCCAGCAAACGTACTGCAGTCTCACCCCAAATGCCACTGCACCTCAGTCACCTCACTGGGGTTTCACTGTGCATGTGTTTGCTTTTGCTCTGGCCAGAACTGGCCCTTGGTTTTGTGGGGCTCTATGTGAAGTGACAGCTCCCGCCCCACTCAGGTTCAAGCCCCACCTCCCTATATCCACAACACCCCCAGTCTCCTCCTCCCTGCCTGTGACCCCCTCAGGCTGTAGCAAATCCCTCTCGCCTCTGAGAGAGGCTCTGTGGCTCCTGGGGACCCTCCCTCATACGGGCCAGGAGATGGAGCCAAAGTACAGCTTTCTAAGCAGGGGTAGGAAGAGCTGTTATGAAAGTCACCCCCTGCCACAGCCCTTGGGCGCCACACTCCAACGGGACCACAGACCGGGGACCAGGGATGGGGCCTGGTATGATGGGTTAGTGGGAGTGTGAAGTGAGACCTTGGAAGGACAGGGATCTATGCAGCTGCATAGGCCTAAAGCCACCACCGCTCCTTTATAACTAGCATAGCCAAGATGCACACTAGGGCCTCTCACTGGGAGACTCATGGGTTCGCCTTGCTAAGACACCACAAAGGGGCCACAAAGGTGGAGCTCCAGCTAGGTGGAGTCAATAGGAGCAGGGCTGACAGTAGCTGCTGTGTTCTCCACTGAGAGGTGTTCTTGTGCCGCTGACACCCAGCGGACACACTGGAGCTGCACAGTGGACACAGAGGATCTGCTGTTTTTCTCTCTTCCCTCCCTTGCCAGGCCCACTGTCTGATGGGGAGATGCCAGAGAGCTGGAATGCCTCCTCCAACAGCCTGGAGGTGCGTGCTGCGGGCATCATCGTGCCAGTGGTCTTCTCCCTCATCTTCCTCCTGGGCACAGTGGGGAATGGGCTGGTGCTGGCCGTGCTGCTGCACAATGGCCAGGTGAAGTACAACACCACCAACTTGTTCATCCTCAACCTGGCCATGGCAGACCTCTGCTTCATCATTTGCTGTGTCCCCTTCCAAGCCACCATCTACACACTGGACGGGTGGCTCTTTGGCCCCTTTGCCTGCAAGGCTGTGCACTTCCTCATCTACCTCACCATGTACGCCAGCAGCTTCACCCTGGCAGCCGTCTCTGTTGACAGGTGAGCCTCCCCCACCCGTCCCCACTCACGCTTTGGGTCTCTCGCTTCAGTTCAAGAGACTGGATTGGCATGGCGAGGTAAGTGTAGGAGAAAGGCAGACCCCACCGGTGTCTGTCAGGAGCAGGCACAACCCACCCAGGACAGGGTCACTCACTGTGTCTGGGGTTTGATCCCCTGTAGCCCCTTGTCACTGCTGTCCATTTCTGATCCAGTGGCAGGCTGTTGCACAGGGTCATGCATGTGCTCTTACCCTCAACCACAATCCTAGCAGATCCACCCTGACCTATTCCACAGAGCTCCCTCATCTTCCATCTCCATCCCCTCCCTTGACTCATTCCACAGGTCTCCCTTCTCTGCCAACCCACAGATCTCCCCTCCCAGCTCCCTCCATTCTCCCTTCCCCCCATAAACCTCTCTCATTATCCCTCTCCCCCATTTCCCTTTCCTCTCTCCCTCCCTTCTCTGTTGCTCCTCACCTCCTCCTCCTCCTCTCTCTCAGCACCCAAAACAAGCTCTCCCACAGTCTGCTTACCCAGCCTTTTTTCTTCCTCGTTGGGGAGAGGTTGGTTTGTTCTTCCAGACAGGAGTGAATTGAGGCTGGATTTCTGCTCTCCAAACCCATCAATTCCCCAGGCCCAGTGCAACAGGGTGTCAGTGAGGAAACTAGAATCTCTCCCGTGGCTGGCTTAGGAGGATCAAAGAGTCCATTGGGTGGAGGAGGGATTGGGGGGAAGAATGCTTGAGTGGTGGAAGAAAGAAAGATCAAATTGCCCAGGGGGTTCTGCTTAATCCTCCCTCCCAAGGGGTGGAGGAGGGAAGATGAGAGGCCTCACTGGAGACAGCACCTGGGAGGGGGCTGCATGGAATAGCAGGACAGTGACAGTGAAGTTCCTTTGCTGACTCATTTGTGTTGCTGTTTAAACCCTGCCTCACCCCATCCCTCCTGCAGGTACCTGGCCATTCGCTACCCACTGAAATCCCGGGATCTCCGGACCTCCTGGAATGCAGCGGTTGCCATCATAGTGATCTGGACCCTGTCACTGCTCTTTGCAGGGCCCTACCTCAGCTACTACCAGATTGTCCACTACCACGGGGTGCCCATCTGTGTCCCCATCTGGGAGGACCAACGCCGGAAGATCCTGGACATCCTCACCTTTGTGTTTGGGTACCTCCTGCCCGTGGTTGTCATGAGCTTGGCTTATGCCAGGACCATCAAGTTCCTGTGGACCTCCGTAGACCCCATCGAGAGAATCTCAGAGTCCCGTAAGGCCAAGTGCAAGGTCACCAAGATGATTGTGGCTGTGGCCATAATCTTCTGCCTCTGCTGGCTGCCCCACCTGGTCATCCTATGCTTTTGGTTTGGCTACTTCCCCTTCAACCGAGCCACCTATGCCTGCCGCCTGGCCTCCCACTGCCTGTCGTATGCCAACTCCTGCCTCAACCCCATCGTCTATGCCCTCATCTCCAAGCATTTCCGCAAGAAGTTCAAGCAAGTCTTCACTTGCCTCCTCTTTCAGAACAAGAGCAGGAAGAAGAAGAGAGCTAGCAATAAAGTCCACGTAACCAATGTGGCCAACAATGCTGCAGGTGTGTATGGAGGTAACACCGAGGTCACCCAGATCCAGGAGGAAAATGCCAAGTGCTGCCAGGGCCCGCTGCGGAAAGGCGCTGAAGACACCCATTTCCCTGAGGCATGGACTCATCAGCTACAGGATGCCACTGTCTCTGCTCAGAGAGGACTGCTGGCTGAAGAAAGTTCTGTAACAACTGGCAACCCACTGGCTGTGACCTCACCAGGGAGACCTCAGGGCCTGCTGACAGTCCACTGATAATATAAAGCAAGAGGAGAAATGCATAATCCAGTGAGGGAGTCACCCTTCCACTCCTGAGTATGCGAGCAGATGGAACGATGTAGCCACTGGGAAATTGCACTGCAGTGATGGCTAATCTTAACAGTGTCAGCTGTGGCTTCTTTCTGATTGTTCCACCCCTACCCACGTGCCTGTACCATTCTTGTGGGAGCAGTGGAATCCATCAATGGAAATTCAGAAAGTAGGAGCATGCTAACGTAAAAACGAGAGACATGGAGAACTAGACACAGCATGATCACTGGGGAAAGGACTGGACTCCCACTGCCTATATTGAAAGTATGTGGCGAGGAGAAGGGGAAGGAGTTTTACCACCATGTACGATATGACACCACACAATTAACTGTGTGATCCAGTGTAAGGCACTGCCCACATGTTGGGGTTCAAGGATCTGAACTTCCCTCTTGAGATTAACCAGATTAACTAGCCCCTTGATAAGCCCTGTGTGTGTGTCTATTGCTCACAGTCACCCAGGGGGTTCCCCCTACACATTTAGGCCTACATTTTCAACAGTGCCCACTAATTTTGCATGGCATCTTGGGTACTGTAAAATTGAGACGAGCAAAATTGACGTACCCTGTTTGAAAACATAGGCTGTAGTGTCGGTATCAGAATGCTGGGGGGAGTGGTTGGAAGAATGTGTGTAGCTATGTGTGAAGAGAGTTAGTCATTTTGTTTGGACTAGGGATGGGAATAGGATCTCTGTGTGTGTATGTGAGAGTGGGGCAGTTCAAAACCTCCGTCACTGGAAAAACTGGGGCAATGTCTCTAACGTCCCAAGCAGCGGAATTCTGTTCCCCGCCTGTGTGTCTTCTCCTCTCTAGTAATTCCCAGCAGGTTTAGGCCGTGCTCCAGTGCTAATCCTCCACCCCCAGCTACTCCGCTCTGTATCAGAGGGGGCCTTGTTTGCAATCCTAGCCCCAAACCCCAATTGCAAGGAAGTCAGCAACTCATATTAATAGCTTATTATACTAATTTTACCACTATCACTATTATTAAAATGAGTATATAGCAAGTAAAAAATGGAAAACCTGGTATTATTACATCTCAGTGTCCCCTCCCGCACATGCTGATAGACTCATAGAAGCTCAAGATGGAAAAGCTCTGTTAGTTTATTAAGTCGGTCTCTTCCCTCCACCCTAGCAAAACAGGATTATTCCCTACGGGACACTTCCTAGTGCTTTGTCCACTCTAGCTTTGCATGTCCCAAGCAACGGAGCTTCCACCACTTCTCCTGGGACTCTTCCTAAGACTAATACATCTTTCCATCAGTGTATCCTGATATTTGTCTTTGGTTCCTTTCCAAATTCATCCCATTATTCCTAGCTACACCCCTTTGTTCCACCCTAAATAATCCCTCTCCTTCCTTGGTGTTTACACCATTCAAATAGCTAAGAGTCTATTGTGTTCCGCTCCCCCGGATCGCTGTATAGCTAAGCTATATGTAATTTAATTATTTCAATATCCTCATATAAATCATTCCCTCCAGGCCTTTTCTGACCTGCATCCAATCTGTCAATATCTCACAGGCACTGTGAGTCCCAGAATTCAATGCAATGTTCCAGGTTGGATCTTGCCAGTGCCTGACATGTCAGATGTTTCTTTGGTGTAACTATAACTGTGATCAAACTTGTGGATGACACCACAATAGGAGTAGTCAACACCGGAGGACTTAACCAGGTTGCAAAGTCAGCTGGTGAGACGAGGCTACAGGCATCAAAGGGCGACTTGGTCCTGACCAGCCTCTGGGGAGAAGACAGCAAGCAACTGCACCCATGGCAGCAAAGCAGGTTTAGTTTAATCTTTACTCCTCGCTACTGTCCTAATGCTTCTTCGTCTTCATGGAAATCTCGATTGGCTGCAAGGCGGGTATGGGAACAGGATTGGTTAGTGGGGTGGAATCATGGGGAAGATCTGGCTTAAGAAATGGGCCCCTTTGTTTGATAACCACTGGCACTGTCTCCAAAGTTAGAGCTGTTCCATTGCATGAGTCCCCTGGCCTCAGGGCAGTCACCTTGGAACCCTCCCTTGTTCCTGCAACTGTTCCCCTGCATTCCCACCTGGTCCTGCAGTCTCAATGGAATGTTTCATTAAGGTAGCTGGACCACTCCCATTTATACAACACTGCCTAGCCCCTGACAAGAGAGTGGCTGACATCCCCCAGGGCTGACCCCATGGGGGAGAACACACTGTGGGTGGGATGTCACCTGCAGGGTTTGGGGCAAAGGGGATTGTTGCTTTTGAGGAGCTGCTGGGATTTCTCTCCTGTGTGAGATTAATAAATCTTGGTGAGTTTCTTTGCCTGGTCTGTGTTCTTCCTTATTCTCCATGCTCCAGCCACAATCATTTAACACAATGGGGATTATTTCCCTATTTGGGACAGGGGGAAAGGAGCAATCAGGGATTATGTGAGCGCCCTGACCCTCTTTCTGATGAGACTGGATTACTAACTGGGGGTAAAAAATTGATCCAACACATACTGCATAATTATATGTAGGGGGCAGTTCTGAGCATTTCAGGAAGGAGCTGAAAGCATCACTGGGATTCAATAGGGAGTCATGAGAAAGATAGATTCATAGATTCCAAGGCCAGAAGGGACCATTGTAATCATCTAGCTGATCTCCTGAATAACACAGTCCACGGAAATTCCCCAGAATAATTCCTCTAGAGCAGATCTTTTAGAAAAACAGCCAATCTTGATTTAAAAATTGTCACTGATGGAGAATCCACCATGACCCTTGGTAAATTGTTCCAATGATTAATTACTCTCACCATTAAAAAATTATACCTTATTTCCAGTCTGAATTTGTCTAGCTTCAACTTCCAGTCATTGGATCATGTTACACCTTTCTCTGCTTGACTGAAGAGCCCATTATCAAATATTTATTCCCCATGTAGGTAGTTATAGACTGACATCAAGTCACCCCTTAACCTTCCCTTTGTTAAGCTAAATAGATTGAGCTCCTTGAGTGTATCACTACAAGGCCTGTTTTCTAAATCTTTAATCATTCTCGTGGTTCTTTTCTGAACCCTCTCCAATGATCAACATCCTTCTTGACTTGTGGACCCAGAACTGGATACAGTATTCCAGCAGCAGTCACATATGTGCCAAATATAGAGGTAAAATAACATCTCTACTTTAACTCGAGACTCCCCTGTTTATACATCTCAGGTTCGCATTAGCCCTCTTGGCCACAGCATCACACGGGGAGCTCGTGTTCAGCTGTTTATCCACCACAACCCCCAACTCTTTTTCAGTCACTGCTTCCCAGGATAGAGTCCCCCCATCCTGTAAGTATGGCCTGCATTCTTTGTTCCTAGTTGTATACATTTACATTTAGCTGTATTAAAATATGTATTGTTTGCTTGCGCCCAGATGCAAGAAAAGAGAGCGAGAGGCAAGGGCTTGATGGAGGGGTGGGGGAGAGTGAAACAAATCATTTGATGCAGTCCCTAGGCAAAGCAACAAAGAGACTAGAGGATGGAGGAGTTTGCTTTAATTCACACTGACAAGCGATGGGATGCACTGAGAGAGAGGAAGCGGAGCCGGCTAGGGAGTGGAGGAGAAAATCAGAGATAGGAGAAACCCTGCATACAGAAAGCTGTACATTCTGACAGGAGTCTTAGTCCCACCCACTCCCCTTCACATAGGGTCATGCTCTTGCAAAGGCCTTTCGAATGTCTAAGGCCCCAGGAGCACCCTGTCCTAAGCCAGCTTTCTCTGATGTTTCAGGCCTCAGATCAGCACAACTGGCCTTCTTGATCAGCGCAGCAGAGAATTCTGAGGCCAGAAAACTTCCCAAAGCAAGAGAGCCTTTGATCAAAGGCTTGCGAGTGAGATCGGTGAACACTCTCAGCTAACAGCAGGGGTCTTTGCCCACAGAGAGCACCAGCCCCTGGGGCTGCAGCAGGAGGGCACAGCGAAGGAATTCTAACAGAGGTTACACACAATACTCACTCCACAGTAATGACTGAGTTCTACAGTACCTGCCCTCCGAGGATCCCAAAGCACCCTGCTGGCTCTACAGAGTACCGATCCGGAACGAACGCTTTGTAACTCAGAAATGCAGCCATTTCTGGGGTGAAGGCTGTTCCAGAGCATACACGAACATTACACAACAGGGCAGGAAGAGGGGAATCCCATACTCAATTGAAAATGAAATGTTATGGACAGAATGTAATGAGCAGAATGAAATGAGGCTAGAGAACACTGGGGCTAACTCCCTGGTAGGCCAAAAGGAAATGGGGGCATCCTGGGAAGTGGGCCAGTTGTATAGAAGCAGTCTTTCCCCAGTTCAGCGAGGGGAAATGGTTGTGACTCTCTCCTGCTCCTAGCAGAGGCAACTGGTGGGTTTCTTCAGCCAAAAAAGAAGGTCTGGGCAGGGAGGCCCAGGATCTGTTGGCCTAGCAAGGATCCTGGGAGGTAGCGGCTGAAAAAAACAGGGAAAGAGCTGGGTAGCTCAAGAAGAAGAAGGGGGAGAGAGTGTTGTTGTTTGGGAATGCCAGAGATGGCACAGGCTGCAGGGTATAAGTGCTAGGGGAGCAGCCCTGCCCTCAAAACAGGAGAGGTTGGGGAAGGGACAAGACTTGCTGGGCATCGCTATGAAAACAGGCAGACAGACAGACACACACACACACACGTGTACACACAAGGAAAGGACAGGAGCTTCTGAGTGCAAGACCCTGGGAGAGCCTGAGGGAGCTTTTGAAGAAACAGTGGAACGGGTCCAGGAAGAAACCGTAAAAAAGGCACCCAGCCAATGAACCCTAAGGAGGGGATTGTGCTTTGCCTGGAGAGGCAAGTCCTGAGGAGGGGAATTAAGGGCCTGTGGGGAAGCAGTGGAGGTAACCTTGTGGTAGGAGGGGTCAGGAGAGTCCTTGGCTAGGCTTGACACCTCCCCAGGGCTAGTGCCTTTGAACTTCCCACTGACTCTAAGGGTATGTGTACACTGCAATTAAAAACCTGCCGCTGGCCTGTGTCAGCTGGGGGGGGGCGGGAGGCTGTTTAATTGTAGCATAGATGTCTGGGCTTCGCCTGTAGCCTGGGTTCTAGGACCCTGTGAGGGGGGAGGGTCCCAGAGCTCACACTGCAGCCTGAGCCGGAACGGAATGTCTACACTGCAATTAAACAGCATTGCAACCTGAGCCCATCTGAGTCAGCTGGCATGGGCCAGGCGCAGGTGTCTAATTGCAGTGTAGACATACCCTAGGGCTCAGTACTGTCGCCAGGCACAGTTTGTCAGGTTCTCACAGAAGCATTTTGAGCCAGGGAAAAGACTAGGTTAAAGTTTTGGCTTTAGGTTGGACCTAGGGTGACCAGATAGCAAATGTGAAAAATCGGGACAAGGCGTGGGGAGTAATTGGTGCCTATATAAGAAAAAGCCCCAAATATCAGGACTGTCCCTATAAAATCAGGACATCTGGTCACCCTAGTTGGACCTCTTGTTTGGCCTTCCATTTGTCCACAAGGGGGTATGTGCATTTTGGCTTAGCTGGAGGGCTAAACTAACCAATAACAGGGAAACGGCCGCAACAGTTGCAGTCTCACAGCAAAAGGTCTGCAAAGTATCAGGCTGCAGGAATTTAGCAGAGAGCTGGCACTGCACCCCAGCCTCCTCCACACTGCTGTCTTCTCCAACAATGCTGTATAGAGCTCATTTAAAAGCAAGGACCCATGACTACTTTAGAGGGAGAAACAGCCCTAGAGTGAAAAAA